TTATTATTATTACTACTACGGTTACATTTGTTGTTTTGTAACAAACCCTATCGTTATGATTAACATTATCACTGTCACTAGCATTTTCATTGTTATTTGAAATAGGTACACTTGGTGTTCCCTCGTTTCCTGACGAATGTCAATCTCATTCGGGATCCAATGTTAACACCAATTCACCAACAACATCAGTTCATCAAAGTGTGACTTCGAGTTCTTCGTCCACTTCAGATTTGCACCTATCAGGTATGTGTCGATTCGTCTGGATGTTTATGTAGAAGTTAGAATTTAGAAGCGACTTACACGGCAGAAAAAAGAGAACTAAATGATAGTACTGCAGGGCAGGAAACTTGAAACTTGGGTCATCATAACGTGTGGGAAGGATAACTTTTCCATGAGGACAAGGAAAGTTATGATCCCACTTGTCCGATCGGATTACCTAAAATTGGGCCCTTATGTCTGATTTCAGACGCTATCATCGGATTTCAGACACTATCGTCGGATTTCGGACACTATTTTCGGATTTCCGTCATTATCATTAAATTTTCAACACTATCGTCGGATTTCAGGCACTTCCATCCAAACTCGAACGCTATCCTCCCAATTTGTGACACTGTCGTCCGATTTCACTCGCGATGTTGCCCAAAACCCTGCCTGAGGAGAATATTCAAGTACAGCGGTCTACAAATAGCATGTAATCTCAGACGAAATGCTCCTCTTTGTTGCTTCTGTTTTTTTCTTTCCCCGCGACAAAAATTATACTTCTGGCGACCGTTTTAGGATTTACACGTAAGGTTGCTATATGATGACTTTAAGAAAGAGTTGAGTTTGGTACCTTTTCAGTATATATCATTAACAGTTCTTCCACCGACTTAAAAGCGTTAACAAACGAAACTCTCTTGTAAGTCAGCCGCAGGCAAGTATCCCTACTCCCTACATTACTTCCGGCCGCCTTGACATGATTTCATTTCAGGGAACTACCTTCCAATTTTTTTGCCTTTTTCGTAAATACTCTTTCTTCCCCTTCCCCC